GACATAAAGACATTGCAAATCACTACGCTACAATTACAAAGGCGGGAAACAAAAATATTATAGCTAATCACTACCCCAGAATTACCAAGAAGATACCAAATTTCTAGAAATTTAACGTAAAAAAGGTTTCACATCGAATATCTTGGTAATGACTCCGAATAATTTAACAATTTTTATAGAGCAGATAGACAATTTGGTGTCCAAGCTCATGGTCTCAGTACCTCAAAACTGCCAAAAATGTCAGATAGAACTGTGTAATTCTAATCTAGCCAAATGTGAGGCATTGTGGTGAAATTGGGTAATCGTCAAAATAATGAAACCAAACCAATATTTTTCCACCCACTGGGTAATTCTTACAAAAATGTTTTAAAATTCATAGCCTCACACCTTTCACGTCCATCTCAAAACATATATGAGGCATCGTGACGAAATGAGGTGCTCATCAAAATAATGAAATCAAAGACACCGGAATTTTTCTGGCCGTTGGACAATTTTTTGTACTTTTTTCTTCTTGGCTCAACGCCTTTTAACATTTTGCTGCCTCATCTCGCCGATTGGCGGCATTTACCACCCCAGTTTCTATGGATTTTCCCCACAACATGATGGCAAAGTGTTAAAACTACATTCTGTGTGGGTTTTACTAAAAAAAATGTTGATCAAACTCATTATTATTATTATTACTGAATATCTGAACAGTAACTAATTAATCATCATCATCCAGAGTCAGATCTGTGAGAGACATAGGCGATAATGGTTCTCCATTCATTCCTTTGCTCGGATGCTCTTAAAAAAGCTGTTTCCCTGATCTGTCCCAGTTACCCATTTGTTTAGGTTCCCTAAGTAGGTTGCTCTGGGCCTACCCCTGCCTCGTTGGCCTTCAATTTTGCCAGTGAGAGCTAGATGTTCAAGATCTTTGTCTACTCCGGTGTCCCAAAAGCAGCATTTGTCGTTTCCAAATAATATTATGGTTAAATATCAGCTTTAATAATGTTAAGGCCTCCACTCACCATACGGCTATGCGGGACCATGGGGATCAAGTGGCTCCTCTCACACACCCTCATGCCTCTGTGGTGTATCACGTGCGGGCTCGCCCCGTTGGCGGCCGGGTACGGAACGGAAGGGGGCGGGGCCAGAGGTGGGCCTGGATGACCTCCCTCTGCTCCTGAGGGCGGACCGGGCGGGGGCGGGGCTTGAGGTGCGGGCGGAGCCACAGAAGGTGGGGGAGGAGCTTGGAGGGGGCTGATGTCCACGCTGTGGGATTAAAAGAAACAAAAGCAGAAAGTTGTTATGTTTTGGTAAAAGTTTTAGTGTTCACAATACAATTAGGTCATAGAAGAAAAAGGACAATAGTTGTGCTTAGTTATTGTGAACAAAGTTTTGCTTAAGTCAAAGAGCTGCAGACAACAATTGAATAGTGGAAGTCGGTATAACAATAATCATATAATAATAACAATATTAATAATAATAATAACACCAACAACAACGACAATAATAATAATGATCATAATAACAATCACATTTATGTAGCACATATTTCACCTCATCCAAAATGTTTTTAACTTTTTCAGAGCACAAGGGACTCCACAATTTTAGGCATCCGGTGCAAAGGCTGTTACCTAAAAAAGACTTTAATTCTGTCAAATATTGATGGATTTGTATGTGTAAGCACAAAAATTATTCGTAATTGAACAAAGGATGCAACTAAAAGTGAAAATGAGTAGTAAATATGTAGCATAAATTCAGGCGTAGACCTTGGGGTTGACGAAATCAGCATCACCAACACCCGGTGAAACAGGGAACCAAAAAACACCACTTACACAGGGTTGCCCACCACCAACATATGTTGTAGTAATCAGCAATATATAAGAAAATTAGTAATCTGGCTTAAAAATTCGTAATATGAAAAGGGATCGTCTTCTCCCCTAGGGTGTCAAGAATAGGAGTTGTAGTCAAGCAAGTATAAAAGTACGGTAAAACAAAGGCATGAAGAAAAATTTGTAATAATTGACCACCCTGCTTATGAAATTTGTATTTTTGGTAAGTATTTTACAGGTATTTACAGCCCCTGCAAAGGGGCCAGCCAGATTCAAACACTTTTTAACAAACGACAACAAAATTACCTCATAGGAGCAGGCGGGTCCGCTCTCAAGACCCGATGTACTGCATTGCTCTGACCAGGGGCTCCAGGCGGTGGGGGCGCCGCTGATGGTGGGGGGACCGACGTTGAACCCGGACCCCCGAGCGGCACGGAGCCCGGAGGACCCCCGGCATGGTGGCACCAGCCTGCCGAGGAGCACGAGGCTTGCTGCTGCGATGATGACGACGGCGCCGAGTGGAAGCAGAGAGTGGGGGCAGGGCTGCCCGGGGTGGCAGCGGACACAGCAGCAGCGGCCGCCGCGGGGCCGCTCTGGGGCGTCGGGTGTTGGTGGAGGCTGGGGTGCATCGGGGGACAGTTGCGGTAGCACGGGGTGTGCACCAGCGGCCAGCCGGGCTCCGTCGGGTGGTGGTGGTGGTGGTGGTGGATGTGGGCCTGTGGAGGGGGCTGGCCTGCTGAAATACACAGAGAGAGAGTGAGAGAGTGTGAGAGAGTGAGCGAGAAAGAGAGGGGCGGAGAGAAAATGAGTGAGAGGGTGAGAAAGGGAGAGGGAGAGAGAGAGATAACAAGAGAGAGAGAGAGAGAGAGAGAGAGAGAGAGAGAGAGAGAGAGAGAGAGAAAGAGAGAGAGAGAGAGAGAGAGAGAGAGTGAGTGAGTGGGAGAGGGAGAGGGGGAGAGAGAAAGAGAAAGAGAGAGAACATGGTCAAAGATGGCACTGCGAGTTTGCCCCAGAAGTCTGTTGCAGTCATTCTCCTAGCTGGGTGATCTGATGGGATATTTTGTACTGCTGGCTGTGTGGCTGCAAAGTGTTAAAATTAACTAAACTCTTATTTGAAAAAAAAGCACACACGGATACCCAACTAACCTCTGATTGACATTCCTCTCTGAAACTTGAGTCCCATCCCCGAGGTAGGATGGCCCCTGCCCACCACCTCGTGACCGTCCTTATGTCTCCTTTTTTACATTTGTTACTCTCTTGTTGCATTGCAAGTGCAGTAAAACGCTTATTTTTTAATTTTTTTTAGGGTTTTACGGCACTCGCAACTGCATAAGGTCATATGAGCACCAAGGGGTGGGTGTCAACAGAGAAGTCTTTACAGGGAATCAGACTTACTCTGCTCATCTCTCTAGCTTCAACAGCACAAGGTCTGCTTCAACTACAGTCGAACCTGCCCTGACGGCCACCTCTATAAGACGGCCACCTGAACAAAAGGCCACTTTCCATTTCCCCCCTTGCATTTTTTCTATATAATTTAACTGTGTAAAACGGGCACCTGTCCAATGCGGTCGCGGCCACCATATTTTAACACACAACCCCTATCACAATAAGCAATAACACCTGTCTTAGACAGCCACCTTAGTGACTCCCATACCTGCCAACATTGCCTGGGCCAAAATCTGTAGTTGGACGCAAATTTTTGTCCAAAAATCAGTAGTTGACCTAAAAAATCTGTAGTAGGCTATATTACCTCTTGTCGCATGCTTAATTTGGGACCCTTATCAATATTTTATTTTGACCCACATCAAATGCATGATTGTGTTTGCGACTTCAAACAAATGTAGAAAATGACAAAAAGAACCAAAAAAAAAAAATGACAAATATGAAAACTACCAGAGGCATTTACCCTATTAGTAGTTGGTGCAGTTCCTGTCCTATTCATACCTGCACGCACACACACAAATGAAACCAACCCCCCCCCCCAAAAAAAACAGAAGCAAAGAAGAAAAGGTGGGCCTTGGATGACTTAGGCCTAGCCTTGGCCTTTTGTCTTTGCAGAGTTTACAAGGAAAGAGTATGACGGATCCCGAGTCCACACAAGGCCTGCACCAACACGCGTTTTGCAGAGAGTTTTCTAGATCTACATCTAGATCTATATCTAGATCTAGTGGTAATAAAAAATTTAGAATACTAAAATTTGCTTCCAAGTTCAGTTTTTGTCCTCTGGTGTTGCCTTCAACCCCCCCCCCCCCCCCCTCCCCCGAGTGTATCTTTTAAAAAAAAAAATCCTCCCCCCATTCCGGAGTCCTATACTACGCAGCGCTCAGACTTTGAATGAACTTTGGTGACCCCTTCAAGTGCCGGTGCTCACAATGTGATGGAACGCGCAAGTTCATTGACCGGTCACAATGGCGAACCCAACAAGACGCTTGTATAACTATAACTTTCTTTTCTTTTCTTTTCTTCACAAGTGACGGCACAGGACAAATATTGATTTATTTTCAAGGCGACACAGCGTTTGCCATGTTGCGTTATCAAACTACTACCAGCAAATTTCTGGGTGGTAACGAAAGTGAAAGTATAGCTTGATTATCCCGATCAAACGTCGGTATCACACCCGCTTGCCACCATAGCCGCCTGTCTGCGTGAAGAAACATACTCTCGAGGGAGCCGAATGAATCACAATCGCGACCGGCAAAAATGAACTTATGGGCGTTATCGGATTTGGTTTTCAAATATTCGATAACTTTCTCAAATTCCCGGGTAATTCCCGGGGCCTGGCAGTCACCCTGCTGAATCCCGAAGTCGGTGGCTTCATCTCAAAATCGGTGGATCGGTAGTTTGACCCAAAAGTCGGTGATCTACCGATTTTTTCTGTAGGGTTGGCAGGTATGGACTCCATTACGTTTTGTCATAAACTGTGCATTGGCCCCTGGCGTTGTGGGCGAGCCGTCATAATTCAATCACCTGTCGTTGTTGTTAGGTAGTCCCTCCAACCGATCATGTTGCGTAGGCCCCTCCCACTGTTGACCAATAGCTACCAATTTTCAGCTGCTGGTGAGGTAAGCATGTGATCCCTCATGACCCATAAGCCCCGCCCAGAACTCATACACAAATCGTAAGTGAGATGAGCGGTCACTGTTTACCCAGTCTGTAACAAAGTAACAAAGGACATCAACATGAACTCTCCGAGTTGTTGCGACCCATGTGTTTGTTTTAACCTGCCACTCGGTCTTCCTCGTCTGATACATTTCATTTATTGTCACCCTTGTGCAAAATCAGCAACAAAATAAAAATTACAAACAAAATACAAACCACCACCACCACCAACAACAACAAAAACAACAACAATGCGGTTACTTTTGATTGGGACCTCAGATGAGAATGGTTTGTTTTCTTCATCTTGATCAGTCCTGCCTAAGACGGCCACCTGTCTTATACATGACCACTTTTCTCCTTGACAATGGGTGGCCGTCTTACACAGGTTTGACTGTATCAAGGCACCCCGGAATTAGCAGTTTACAAGAGAGTGACAAACATACAAAAGAAGTAGAGGAAAAATGACGATAGTAAGGATTTGGAAAGAAAAAGCAGCAGTTCCCTGTCGTAGATCAGGCACAGTAAGGAACGTGACATAATGAATCAGCCCATTTACAATTCTACTGTGCTTGAACGAGAAATGACCCCCTTCCGGAATGGCCTAAAGATGCTACAGTACAGGCAGTGGCACTGCCCCAGGGGGTGAAATGCTTATTTAAACTCTCTTACTTGGAAAAACAAAAAAGGACAAAAGATGGATACCAACTAACATCTGATGGCCATTCCTCTCTGAAACTCGAGACCCATCCCCGAGGTAGGATGCCCCCTGCCCACTACCTCGTGATTGTTCTTTCCTTTCAAACATGTATCCTCCTTATGTCTCCTTTTTTACAATTGTTACTCTCTTGTTGCACTGCAAGTGCAGTAAAACACTTATTTAAATTAATATTAATTAATAAATAAAATAACTCGAAAAAGAAAAAAGGACAGACACACCCAACTAACCTCTGATGGACATTCCTCTCTGAAACTCGAGACCCATCCCCGAGGTAGGATGGCCCCTGCCCACCACCTCGCGACTACCGGGGACAAAACTGTACGGCATCAGGTGTCCGTGGGGCTGATGACTGCCGGACGAGGGCGGGGAGGTGACCACAGCGGGGGAGGAGGTGGAGTAGTAGTAACAGCCGCGGCGAGATGGACCCCCCGTGGAGGGGGTGTGGTGGTGGTGGTGGTGGGGCTCATGGGCGGCCGCCGGGCTGTGGGAAAACCGTCCGTGATGCAAGTGGTGCGGGGCGTGGCCCATGTGGTGGTGGTGGTGGTGGTGGTGGTGCAGCTGGGGTAGGGGCTGCGGGGGCCAGAACTGAGGGACACAACCAAAAGAAAGTATTGCATGAGTGGTCTGTCAAATTCTGAGGGGAAAAAAAGCAGCACATCCTTTTCTTAGGGAACATTTCTTTACTGGAGTATAGAACTGCAGGACCCAAAAAAAAAAACCAAAAAAAAAAGTATTGCATGAGTCGTCTGCAAAATTTTGAGGGAAAAAAAGTGGCACATCCTTTTCTTATGGAACATTTCTTTGTTGTTATCGATCCAGGGAACATTTCTCTACTGGGGGTAGGGGCTGCAGGGGCCAGAACTGCAGGACACAACAAAAAAACAAAACAAAACAAAAAAAAAAAGGATTTCATGAGTCGTTTGTAAAATTCTGAGGGGAAAACAAGCAGCACATCCTTTTCTTTTGGAACACTCCTTTGTTGTTGTGATCAATCTAGGGAACATTTCTTTACTTTATTTTTCCTTTTCCGATCTAGCAACCAAATGAGTTCTAGACCTTCAGCCTACTTTTATTAGGCGAGGATCATTTCAAAATCTGAAAAGCAAATTTTTTGTTTTAGTAAGAGTTTTACAGCCCATACCCATGCTCAACAGCATAATCTCTGCGCTTTACAACTATATCATATCCGAGCAAGCAATCTGCTCAACCCCGAGGAGAACCCCTGACATTACTCTCACTTGAAGTCTATAATATCTATACAAATCTATCCAGTAGAACCAGTGAGTCGGACTTGAATGTATTCCCCATGATCTAAACAATCAGTCAACAGATGAAATTCAAAATGGCGCTCAAGCACGAAACTGAAAGTAAGATAATTTAGGCCGTAGTCCTTTTCGTATTCTTATTTCTACTTAGGTTCCAACAATTTAGTCGAAAACGCCAATGTCAGCAGTCGGCGGTCGGCACGAAAACCAGAGATGCCAACCACAGAAGACCGAAATGAGTATTGGGAAATATGAAAATGTGTATTTTCAGGGGAAAATGTGTATTTTCAGGGGAAAATGTGTATTCCCCACGACCAACTGACCAACCAGTAAAATGCTCAGTGTCCAGCAATATTTCCTGAAAAAAAATTACTAGCTCACCAGCTCGAAAAAGGGAGTACACACGCGTACAATATACATGTGTCCAGTCAACAACATGTTAGTGTTCAGTGTCGTACTGGGGTCTTGTTTGAAGTATTTCAGTCTATTATAATATTTTCGTCTCATTATTAAATTAAAAATTAATCCTGCTTTGAGCGTTCAGAAGGGTCTAGAACAAGAATTTCGACTATAAAGAACCAGTCTGGGAGTCAGAATTCATGTTATGAACTGAGAGACTAAAGTTATTGCTCAAACTCAGAGAAGAGCAATAACTTGAATGGCTCAAGTAGACCCAACAAGCACTGTGAGAGTTGTAACAACTGTGGGAGGACAAGATGCAGTGACACTGAAAATCTGCCAGTCTTGAAACAGAAAGCTAGAACATACACTGTAGGTATAAATTACTATCACCCATCCAATGAAACACGAACACTTTATTTCAATAACACAGACTGGCAAAGTATGAAGGGTCCCGATTCCGCACACGCCTGCACCAACACGTTCTTTGCAGAGAACTCTAATCAAAATACTGAAATTGCTTCCAAGTTGTTGTCCTCTGGTGTGGCCTTCACACCCCCCCTCCCCCCTCAGTGTATCTTTTTTTTTTTTAAATCAATAATCCGCTCCCCTTTTCCGTAGTCCTATACTTCGCCCAGCCGTTACTCCCACTAAAGACGGTCTTTGCTCACACGATGCCGTATTTTTACGACGCGAATGCGCGCAGGGTCACTGGCCGGTCACAATGGCGAGCCAGACAATCTAAAAATCGGACGAAGCTTGTATTTTCTTTCCTTTTTTTCCCACAAGTGACAGCACAAAGACGAGTCGGAGTATTGATTAAACTTTATTTGCACGGCGACACAGCGTTTATACTGCACAACCTGCATGTCACAAATGTTGCTTTATCAGACTACCGTTGGCAAACTTCTGTGTGGTAACGAAAGCGAAAGTAGATCTTGAATTTCCCGATCAGCTTCGGTGTCACATACACTTCCGCCTGCCGCCTATCCGTGTGAAAGTGAAATGTACTTTTGGACGGGGAAAGGCTGAACTTACTGACCTTATCGGACTTGGTTTTCAAATATTCCAGTTCCGCGATACTGAAACTATTTTGACAAAAGATGGGACTTGAGATAATTAGGATTACTCGTCCAAGCTGAATCTCGTATTTTTCGCATTCCAGGATGCGTATTTTTACATGAAAAGTCGTATTTGCGTATTTTCGGCAAAAAATCGTACTATAATACGTAAAATCGTACTGGTTGGCATCTCTGCGAAAACGAAAGCGGGCGGGAGAAAAGGGGGGGCGCTGGCAGTCGGCCAGGCCTCGCACTTCGCACATCGACAATATATCAAGGTGGGCCTAGCAAAAGCATCAGCCGGCTCGTGGGTCGGGTCACGATTGTCAGATATCAGACGGTTGTCGGCAAACATGCAGGTCTAATAGTTACCTGAGCAGGCTGCATGTGAGCAGGCTGGGCAGCAGCGACCATGGGGGGAGGAGGAGGGGCGGCAGACAGGACTCCCGTTGAGGAGGCGGTGGCCGAGGAGGAGGAGGAGGAAGAGGACGACGATGAGGTGGCGACGGAACAAGGCGAGGCCGCTGTGGATGTCACCGGGGCAGCAAAACTGCTGTTGCTGCTGCTGCCGCTGGTGCTTCTGCTGGCGGTGTGTAACAGCAGAGAGTGAAATCCTCCTGGGGGTCGGGATCGGCCGCGTGGGGAGCAGGGGTCGCTGGAGGCGTCCGAGGGTCTCACCGCCTGGTGAAACAGATGAGAGAAAAAACGGATAAGAGAAGAGAAAGAAGAAACAACAGACAAAAGAAGAAACAGATAAGAGAGAATGAGAGAGGAAAGGGTAAAGAGAAACAACGGATAAGAGAGAACAAACATATAAGAGAGGAGAAACGGACGAGATAAGAAACAGATAAGAGAGGAGAAACGGATGAGATAAGAAACAGATAAGAGAGGAGAAACGGATGAGATAAGAAACAGATAAGAGAGGAGAAACGGCTGAGATAAGAAACAGATAAGAGAGGAGAAACGGATGAGATAAGAAACAGATAAGAGAGGAGAAACGGATGAGATAAGAAACAGATAAGAGAGGAGAAACGGATGAGATAAGAAACAGATAAGAGAGGAGAAACGGATGAGATAAGAAACAGATAAGAGAGGAGAAACGGACGAGATAAGAAACAAATAAGAGAGGAGAAATAGATAAGAGAAAAGAAACGAATAAGAGCAGAAACAGAGATATGAGAGAAGAAACAGATAAGAGAAGAAAATAAAATGTTTTGGGTCTCGTGATTTTACAAATGTGAGGTGTGCTGACAAAATGAGTTAATTCTTGGATTTTAGCCCTATGGACGCAGATCGACACTTGTAATTTATTGGATGGGTTCATACACTTTAATATTATATGAAATAAATGAAAGATGTGTTTGATTTGAAGAAACTGGAATCATTTTAAAACTTTAAAATTTTTTCTCAAGAAATTCAGAACAATTGGCAAGCCTGAATTCTGACTTTGGATCACATAGGAGCAAAAAGTTCCAAAACTAAAATAGTAATAATAGCAACACTGAAAGATGAGGAATAAACATGATCTGTGATCTCACTTCATATTACTAAAAAAAGTAGCAATAACATCTCATCATGACTTTAACATGAGAATTGCAAGCAAACGAAAATCTTATCAGCCAGAATTAAATTCACGGATCTTTCTCAAACAGATAGAATTAAAGTAGCACTGCCACTTAGAAGAAGAATTTGCAATAAGGTTTTGTTTCACTGAAAATTTTAGATCTAAATCTTCCTCATTCATACGCCAGAAAACTTGTATCCCTCTGCAGCATCGGGAAAGTTGATAGTGAGACTGAATGCATAAAAAGCAGATGCGTTGGAGATGAATTTGATCAACAACCGTCACTAAGAAAGTGACTAGGATTTTAGATCCAAAATTTGTTGGTGACACAATGCACTGCCACACAAAAAATACGCCTTCAAGAGTCAAATTCTCATAAAGAAAGGAAGTATCATCATGTCTGTATTTAACTTGACCAATATAAGAAACACAGATTTGAAGGACTGGACAGAAATTGAGCATTTAATCAGCAGAGGTGAAAACGACACACTGTGTCATTCTGGCGGAGGGACGGGGGGGGGGGGGGGGGGGTGTTAATTATAAAGGGAACCCGACACAGGTCATCATGTCATTCTAGCTAATAGGAGTTAAGGAACTCGCTACCCTAGAGGTACAAAATTTTATCTGCTCAGTGCTTCGTTACGAGAAATTCTACGTTAAAAAATTTTCAGTTTCACTGAGTGTCAAGCGTTTTCAAATTCAATTCTTTGAAAATCTAGCTTAATGAATCTGAAAAATCTTACGATTTTGATGTTGTTTTCAAATCCCTTAAGCTGCAAGTATTTCGCTATTGGCAGGTACGATTTTGATAAAGCACACAGAACATTTGGTTTCTGACCTCATGATCTCAGTTTTAGTAAAGGTTTTACAGCGCTCACAACTGCATAAGGTCATATGAGCACCAAGGGGTGGATGTCAAAATAGAAATCCTTACAGAGAATCAGACTTACTCAGCTCACCTCTTTAGCTTCGACAGCACAAAGTCTGCTTCAACTATCAAGGCACCCCGGAAATAGTGGGTCACAAGAGTGTGACAAACATACAAAAGAAGTAGAGGAAAAAATGACAATAATAAGGATTAGGAGAGAAAAAGCAGCAATTCCCTGTTGTAGATCAGTCACGGTTATGAGCGTGACATTGATGAACCAGCCTATTTACAATTCTACTGTGCATGAACGAGAAATGTCCCCACCTTTGGGAATGGCCTCAAGACTCTTCAGTCAGTGGCACCACCTGGGAGGGGGGGGAGGGGGGAGAGGGGGTTCATGATCTAAGTAACTCACAACAGCACTCTGTTATTCTAGGGTAGAGAACCGCCTTGCTTACCTCTATTCTCTGCTGACTAGCTGGGTGCCTCATCCTTCCGTGGGTGGCCGGCCCACGGTGACAATGACGACAGCACGGGAATACCCCAAAAGGGGGCGCTGAGGACTCGGGAGGGGGCGGGGGTTCGTGGGCACAAGTAGGGCGAGGGTCGTGCTGCCCCGAGCAGAAGCTGGATGGCAACGGCACATAGCCATAGCTACGCATGGTCTGTGATGAACAGATGAGAAGAGGGGTGGGGGTGGGGGTGGGGTGGAGTGGGGGGGGGGTTTGTTAGTTGTAAGTTTGTTGTTTTTTTAATCTTGTCACTATGACGGTATTTTAGAACCCGCAAAATGGCTGCTGGCACAGTATGCTTCCCAGGAAGTTGAAATTGTTTCAGAATACTAACAGCAGGTCTGCTGGGATAATAATATAGACTGTAAAGGGTATAGATTGTGAAGTGCATAGAGCTTGCTGTCGGGCTGGGACTTGCGCTATACAAATTCTATCTATTATTACAGGGCACAGAGCTTACTGTTGAGTGGGAATTTGCACAATACAAACTCTATTACCTATTCATTTATTATTGTCTAGATTTCTACCTTGGCTATAAAGATTCATTATCGCCTCATTTGTAAGACGACACTAAATGTTTCTCTCATGTGCGACGCACAGGCAACACATTTCACTTATCATCAAGGTTTTACCACGATTGTGTCAACAATAGTATCCCTCAGCTACCGCTGGTCATATCAACTTAAACATCCCTTGCTCCCTCAAATAAAAACATCAGTCAGAAGTAAAAGGCCTAAGCTTCTGATCTGTAACAAAGAGAGATACAGAAAGTCATTTTTACTGTCATCCATCAACATTCTTCCATCTTAACCATCTTGTTACAAGTCTTCATATAACCTTAGAGCATGTATTAGAATAACAATGAGTTACAGTCAGAATACTGAGTACGTATCTAGCTTAAGATTATTATTGTTTAAATTACTGTTCATTTATATTACGCATGTGACTGTAAGCCTGCGTGTGGGTGCATGTGTGTGTGTGTATGTGTGTGTGTGTGTGTGCGTGCGTACGCGTGGTGAAACACCAAACCAATGTGCCAGGATCTGGACAATAAAGTAATAAAGATGTATTTATCTTATCTTAATAGTTGTAGAGAGAAAAAAAAAATTTCTTTCTTTTAACAATAACTGTATCTTTACATAAAGAATTTTTCTAGCTTTTTTTTTCTGTATCTAGAATTCAAATTCTGACAAATCAAGACTTTCGGATTATTCCTGAATATCGTCATCTCTGATTAATTAACCGCACACTCAGTGTACCACTTTCAGAAAAAAAGGGGGAGCGTCCGTTAACAATTATCTAAACCCAGGACACAAAAAAACACTTACTGGAACTCGGAGGCTTCTGTTCTGTGGGAAGGAGGTAGGGCGGAACACCTGGGTGTTGAGAGGGGGAGAAGCAGACGGTGGCGGCTCAAACGTCATCTCGAAGGGACCCTGGTCCTCCTCGTTGGGCCCCGACGACTCTCTCGACTCCAACTCGGCGGCCATGGGTTCAGACTCTGTGGAGCTCGGCTGAGGTTCTGTGTGATCAAACATGTAAAAGTTCCCAAAAAAAAAACCCCAAAAAGTTGTAACACATGTAATGTAGAACGGGGTTACACGCGCTATGTCTTTCTTTAGTTTTAGTAAGGGTTTTACGGCACTTGCAACACAATAAGGTCATATAAGTGCCAAATATTAGAGGTGTTACAAGAGACAACAAACACAAAAAACAAGGAGGGGAGATAGAGACCATAGATTTTTGACAGCAAAGAAGAAGCAAACCACACCAGAGCAACCGCCAACCACTCACGCAGAAGGGGATTACACTTGTGAAACAGAAGAAAGGGATCCAAGCAGCCTGACAATCGCTTTAAGGTTTACTAGGAGAGTTTTACAGCACTTGCAACACAATAAGGTCACAGAAGTGCCGCAGATTATAGAAGTGTCACAAGAGAGTAGCAAACATAAAAAAGGAGGAGGAGAGATCAGAACTATAGGTGTTTGATGGGAATGAAGGAGAACCCCACACCAGAGCACCCACAAACCATCCGTAGCCATACAATCAATTCATTTTTAAGTAAGAGTTAATTATTATTATTATTATCGTTATTATTATTAATACTTATAGACTCAGAGGGAAATTTTTTGGCTGTATAGGACCGCAAAAACACATACAGACAGGTAAACAAAGAAATTAAATTATATATTACTTTCATTCAAAATCAACAAGAACAGCAAAAAATAAAGCTGACAATAATGCACATTATAACACATCAGATGCATCTTTCACAATGTGCGGGAATTTATCACAAGACCATTAGATTTATATAGATACAAGTGTACATTCGAAACGGCACTACACATTGATGTTTATACTAACAGCAGCCTTACACAGATGGTAAGAAAGAGTATCTTTCTTTTTGTTCTTAGTGGTATGTATCTGCTGCTGCGTGATCTTACAATTTGTGCGGAAAAGGGGGTGTGACGGGTCGTTAATATTCTCCTGCTTATCTTTTTTTAAATTTGGCATAAAAATTTATTTTAAAATACGGAGACCGGAAAGAGCCTCACAGCCATTGAGCAGCGCCAGAATTATATCCACATGCAACACAATACGGTCATATTCATATAAGCGCCGAAGAAAAGGTGTTAGAAGAGAGTTTCAAACATATAAAAGGAGGAGAGATAAATACCTTTCACAGTAAAGAAGGGGTAAACGTGGTGAGTCAGGCGCTAGTCAAAATAATGAAATGAAGAAATAGGCATTTTTTTTTACCAGCTTTGCAATTTTAACCGAATTTTTGTTTTTTGGCTCAACACCTTTCATGTCCATTTAAAAATACATTTCCATGTGAACTTAACTGAAAACGTAGAATAAAGTCACAACATAAGTAATTTTTCAATTTTCTAGGACTCTCAAGCAACTGAAGTTACCAAACTTTGGTGGTCATTTTATCGCCAATTTTACTACAGAATCCAGGCGACCCAACCTCCTTCAATCGCAGATATCTCGACTTCTATTCAAGAGACAGATTGGTATTTTTTTCATTGAAAGCAAGACAAATTATAAGTTTCCACATGATACCAAAAGTATGGTTCAGAGACATGGAGGCTCACAGCATCAGCAGCAAGGAAACTGCAGAGCTTCGTAAATGGATGCCTACGAAGGATAGTGGGGATCAAGTGGTACGATCGAGTCACAAATGCTCAACTGTGGGAGAGAACAAGCCAAAGGCCAGTAAAGGAAGATATTCAGGTGAAGAAATGGAAATGGATTGGACACACCCTGAGGAGACCCCGGACAAGCATCATCAGGCAGGCCTTAACATGGAACCCACAAGGAAAGCGTAAGAAGGGAAGACCTAAGATGACATGGAGGCGAGCGGTATCAGTGGAAATTGAAAAAGCGGGGACATCATGGAAACAGATAGAAAAGGATGCTCAGGACAGGCTTCGCTGGAGTAATGTTGTTAATGGCCTGTGCTCCACTGGGAGTTAAAAAGGGCAAGAGAGACATGATACCAATAACTCCACATACCCAAAAATTGACAATCGCCTGATTCCACTGCGTCATGACACAAATATATATGGGTGTACATTTCTTACCTTCATCCGAATCAGTCAGGTCTATCACAATTCTGTGAAACAGGCAAGAAAAAAAAATATGAGCAAACAAATGGCAACATGATACAAGTTGGCAGTTGAAATATAGCCAGCTGCCTTTGATTTTAGCTTCAAAAAAACAAATCAAAACAAAACAAGAATACGAGAGGCATGCTGACAAAAGGAGTTACTTCTCGAAATATATGAATTGAGATATAAGTCACATAGGTAAAAATTTAACACCTGTGACAAATTTAGTTGATTTTTCAGTTGACGTTATTTTCTTCAAGAATAATATACACCTTACCATTTCATACTACTTATAAAACCCAAGCTCTAGAGAAATACTAAGTAAGCAGCAGAAGAATGGAATTCAAACCCTCAAAAAATACAAATGATTAACGAATAATTTTCTTCTTTTTTTTTTTTAAAGGAAAGTAACAGCTAGATCACAATGATGATAATTCAACGCCCCATCCATAACATGTTTAAAAGCATCAGTGAATAAATCATTATAAATCACAATTTAAACACGCACATCTATTGTTCCTTTTTCCAAGTTAAAATGCAGAGGCTGCTACAACACTCATAATACACAGTGCCTTATCAATTTTAGACCCCCAAGTGATCTTTAACGTTTGCAACTTGCCCACAAGACCTCCGAGATTTTTCGCCCTTGTCCGAAAAGGCTAGGTGTAGATCTTTCCTATCAGAAGATCAGGGTTTTGGCTGAAAGACAGCAGTAAGAAGGAGCCAAGGAGTAGCAGTAGAAAGGCTGCAGAAAGAGTCAGGAGACCAGAGAAGGGGGGAAAGGAGGTGAGGGGGTGTGGGCAGAAAGTGGAGATGAAAGCAGACGACAGAACATTGCTAGAGAGCAGAAAAGGAGGTGATAAGAGACAATTTTAGAGAAGAAAATTTTCCGTCGCTACCCGGATTCGAACCTGGGACCTTTGAATAAGAGGCGATCACCTTAACTTAAACCTCCAGGCCACGAGAGCCCCCTCCTCACAACAATTTTGTTCAAAGTGTACTTAAGAGAAGGCACTTTTAACAAAATCATTCGGAGGCAACAAACGGTCTCGGTGGGGATGGGGGGGGGGATATTACAAAAACGTCATACATTCCGTACGGTATGTGTGTAGCACTGTTTTCAACAGCGGCTATTTTAACGGTTTCTACATCCCTCTCAGAACGGATAAAACTAAGAACTGAGAGCAAAGAGTCTCCTTTACAACCTGTCTGGAACTCCCAATTGAAAACTCCAAATTATACAATTTTCACAAAAGATGATGAGAAGTGAAAAAAGACGAGTTTTGATTCTCCGCAGAGAGAGAGAGAGAGAGAGAGAGAGAGAGAGAGAGAGAGAGAGAGAGAGAGAGAGAGAGAGAGAGAGAGAGAGAGAGAGAGAGAGAGAGAGAGAGAGAGAGAGAGAGCCCCGAGAACATTCCCTACCTCGGTTTGACCATGACCACCTCCACATCGCTGTCATCCGAGGCAGCAGACGCAGCGGTGGCCGTGGTGGAGGTAGAGCCGTTTGACACACCACTGCCACCACCACCACTGCCACCACCACCACCACCACCGAGGGAGACGACACCATCAGAAGACGTCTGGCTCTCAAACGATGGCCCTGCCGTTGGCATCATAACGCTGCTCTCATCGCCTTCGTTCCATTGGGAGGAGGCTGAAGACGGCGCAGCGTTCACTGAAGAGGAAGGACCCGGTTGCACAGGGTTTCCCGAATTGTGTATGTCCTGGAGCCAGTCATTCCACGGCTTGGGCAGAGACGACGCCCCCCTCGAGGACGACTGCAGCGCTGACGAAGACAACGGCGACGATGAGGAGGAAGAGGAAGTTGTCGTCGCTGACGAAGAAGCGGCCATCACCGGGGTGGAAAAGATAGTATCCATAGCCAGCTGCTCGCCAGCAGAAGTAAACGCGGGCTCCGCCTCTGAAACGAGAGCGGCAGCGTCGTCTCCGTTCGTGGCAGAAGAGTCAAGACCCAGGTGGGCGGGCGGAACCACACCTGTCGACGACACTACATCGGTGGAGGATGTCACTGACGTCAACTGTGTCGTCAGTGTGGACGTGGCAGCCTCGGGAGGATCTGGCTCCAGGAACGACGGGTATGTGGTGGCGGTGGAAGTGGACGTCTCCCTTGTGGAGGCCCCATTGCAGAGACCGTTGTCCGCGCCTCTAGCATCTGCCATTGCCGTAGACGACGTGGGTCTAGCTTGGGATGAGCCTCCACAAGATGTCTTTATTCTGAGAGGGGGTGGGGGTTTGTTTTGTGTTAGTAAGAGTTTTACGGCACTTGCAACATATTAAGTTCGTATAAGTGCCAAAGATTAGATGTGTTACAAGAGAGTAACAAACACAAAAAAGAAGGAGGGGAGATAGAGACGATAGATTTTTTTATAGGAAAGAAGGAGCAAACCACACCAAAGCATCCGCCAACAAACCCACATTGGGGGGGGGGGGGGGGGGGAAATAGGGGCAGAAGTTGCACATTACATTGCTCCCTTCCAAACGCAAGCTTTACTTTGTTCTGAAAAACGTTGCACATTTGCTCCCTTCCAGGCATGTTTGACCTTGTTTCAACAGACACATTACTAAAACGTTATTTTAGAAAGAGTTTTATGGCATTTGCAACACAATTGTTATATATCACATAAGTGTCGAGGTATAGAGAAGTAATAAAAACAAACAAAAAAAGGAAGAGAGATTAGGATGATAGACATTTGATAGGAAACAACAAGAGTTGACAAACCTGCAAGAGGAGCTGGGGCAGGAAGGAACAGCGGGGTTGCGCATCATGCTCCTCAGGCAACCATGACACCTCAAAGGCTCTCTCGACGAGCTACTGCGGCACGACCCCATCTGACCTTGATCTCTTGGCACGGGCAGGCTAAAGGTCATCCCGTCCTGACCGAAGACAGTCTCGACCATCTCCTCCATGGAGTGACGGTGCTGCCTCCGGTGGAAAGGGACGTCAGAATCCTCCGATCTCATCAAGTCTGTGAACAAACAAACAAACAAGAAAATCAGAACTTTCTAAACTCATAAAGTCTAGGAACAAACTCCTTCAACACTTTGCCATCACAAGGCTCATATAGTAAAAACCCTTGAAATCAAAGGCAGAGGCATTTTGGGGAAAATCGAAAGAAACTGGGAGGTAAACATTGTCGATCGGCGAGAAGAGATGGCAAAGTATTAATCAGCATTTCTCAGTAAAATCCACACATAAATGTGTTTTTATTGAACAAAGGTGTTGAGTCAAAAATACAATACTTCGATTAAAAATGCCAAACCATTGGGAAAAATGCAGATTTCTAGAAAATGTATTTCGACGAGAGTTTGATTTCACCACGATGCCTCATAAATTTATTTTTTAAACCTAAGAAGAGAACTTCGCTTTGAACTGCATTAAAGCTGCACACACGTTTTTGGGTCCAGGTTCAGGTCAGACAATGGTTTGGGAGTTTTAAGAAACTTACCTTGAAAATTGTGTGTTAACTTGAAAGGAAGTACTTTAAAAATCCTATTTCAAAGAGATTTAGCTTTTAAAAATGGTTCTTCAAATAGCCTGTTTCACTCGAATTTGCCATTTTATGATTTTTAATGGGACACTAAAGCTTTAAAAGAACAAGCTTTAAGATGATGCCAATAACTCCACATGTCAAAAAAAAAAAGAGCGCCTGATTCCACCGTGTGTGCGATGTATGTCACAAAAGATCTCAGTCAAACAGTATGTCTTCCATTTATTAGTTTTATTATAACTGGAATTATTTTAAAAAACAAAGACATGCCCAAACTCTCCCATGCATACAAATCCAACTAGTAACATCAACTTGAGTAACATCTCGCTCTCATCCTGTCTCACTGGGCGATTTGTCAACAGAAAATAGGATTTGCAAAATGGAAAAGCGGTACTGATTAACACACTTCCTGTGTGTTAATCCACGAGAAAATATAGTTCCAGACACACTGTTTGACCCCAATCGGGATGCCGAGACACTGACCTGAGAGAGTCCCCGAGAAGTTCCGCACCGCTGGCATGTCCTCCATACTGGCGGGGTCAGTCGAGTCTGCCACGGGCTCGCTTGGCCAGGTTCTGTGTCCACTTGGATTGTCAGACGGGGCAAGAATATCAACATCTTTCAAAAAAAAGAAAAGGAAAGGAAAAAAAAAAGCTTGAATGTCACAGCAATCTTTGAGAGAGACAGAAAGACACGACACATGGACAAGAATGCCTCTTAATTCTTCGGGCGTCTGTTTTAACTCCTTCAAAACGACTACACAGAGTAAGACCCTGGACCATACGCCATTGTAAAGAGAGACGTATGAGGAAGTGTTGCACAAAGCAGTTGAAAAATAAAATAAGTTGTTTTTTTTAAAGCATTTTCTCAAGAGGAAAATACAAAACTTCCTCCTTGGTTCTGAATGAAACCTGTATAAGGGAAGTTGGGGGAGGGGAAAAGAAACGTTCATTTCTTTCCACAAACCTCGGAGGATTCTGGTGGTGCGGGATCTCTCGCTTCCAGGGGCACGTTCGAATGCGGCATCGCCATGGGCGCGCTCGTACTCAACAGCACAGAAGTTACTAGGGAGGTCCTCTGCAGACAAGAAGCGACAGTGCACGGTCACACACACACGTGCCTACCGATTTACAGTTTACATTATTATATCAGTTTTTAACCCTTTGAGCCCTCGCCACCTTTACAAAAGTGGCACGAAAAACTGCCCGTATGCATAGCCACCAGTACACCAGTGGCACGTAAAACTGCCCGCATACCTAGCCACCACTCCAGTGGTGAGACATGGTGGAGCTTTCGATCCCCAGTCAGAATGTTATGTCGAGAGAGAAAAAAGTTAAGTTTTAGTAGAGGTTTTACGCCGCAAGCAACTGCATAAGGTCATATGAGTGCCAAGGGGTGGATGCCAACGGACGTCCTTACAGGGAATCAGACTTACTCCGCTCACCTCTCTAGCTTCAACAGCACAAAGTTTGCTTCTATTATCACGGCACCCCTGAAATAGTGGGTCACAAGAGTGTGACAAACATTCAAAAGAAGTAGAAGACAAATGACGATAGTAAGGATTTGGAAAGAAAAAGCAGCAGTTCAATGTTGCAGTTCAGGCACAGGTATGAGCATGATATTGATGAATCTCAGATACACTATTTGTCAACCAAAGTGCAACTAATCGTAGGCCAGCTGCTCGTATGTAAAGTAAAGTTGTTCCCACATCAAATCCAGACACTGGGGATTGCTTTGTTAGTGGGACAACTTCCTGGGCCTTCTGTATATTGTGGTAGGGTGGCCAGATCCTTTCCACGCCGCCTTTACTTCCCCAACTCGAAGTCAGGTACGCATTACTGCTGGGTGGGCAGGAGGGGGAAAAAGAAATCTGAGTCTGAACGGAGGCTCATATGTACTGAGCCCAAAATAATTAATTTTTAAAAAACTGATGTTGCTCAATCTATGGTATTTGTTGTACATGCTCAAGAAATTGTTCATTGAAATGCAAATTCAAAATTATGCATAGCTGCCACTCGGGAATTTCAAAAAAGGAGGAAATTCATGCGAAGGCGGACACGCGCTCTCCGAAGGCCGGAGTAAAACCAGTGAGATCCAGAGGCAATATATACAGGAAAATCTAGCCTATGGTTTTCGAAGGGAAAACTGTCATATTTATTAACCATAGGCAACTGAATTAAAATGTATTTGAAAAAAACAACAACAAAAAACAACAAAGGCACTATCACTAAGTAGACTACCAAGCATTTGAGTCAATTTGACACAGTTTGGACTTGGTGACTAAAAATCCAGTGTTTGTTGCAAGCTGGCGTCTTATAAAAAGATTTCTTTCACTTTAATAAACTTGTACATCGATGTAGAGCGCGCGCAGTATTGGATCAAGGAGGCAACACCTTTGCCGCTGTACTGAGCACTCCTGTACAATTGCGGTCCCGTTTGCACTTCTTAGATAGTAGTCCCTCTGTAGAGTGTAGATCTAACCTGAATTAAAATTATAGCCTAGGCTATCTAATCTAGATCTAGAATCTAGATATCTAAATATGTGTAAATCTAGATTATATCTAGAGATAGATTATCTAGATCTAGATCTAGATCTAGATCCACTTCAACAGCCACAATAGCCTTCATGTAAACAAACGGGACCGCAATTGTACAGGAGTGCCGCGGGCCGCGATTTCTTTATCGCACCAAACGCAAAGTGCAGCAAGCGGAGCTCCTTTTATTTTTGCATTCTGCATCAATATCTCTCGAATTTCTGCCATTTCCAATGACAACTCGGCGCGCTAACGTTCCGATGCCAGATCGACACTTTGTTGCTCCACAATAAACAAAGTGAAACTAACGCTAAGCCTAGAAGAACGGAAGTAGAAAGCTACGGGCGGACATGCGCAAGCTTCGTTTTCGTCTCTCTCCCGGTTCGGTGTTTTCCGCGTGTAAAAAAGTATCGCAATTTGCGGCCGAGAGCGGCCCAGCGGAGGAAGGAGGAAAGTAGCGGGAAAAGCTAGATGAAGCGGAGTTTCCGCTATTTAGCGGGAAAGTGGCAGCTATGATTATGAAAAAAGCAAGAAAAGATACGTAACGCAAGTACAATTGTTAAAAGAATGAAACAGGTTTTTTTTCTCTGTCCTGAAATATTTCACTTTCTGGGCTCAGCACATCTGAAAAGCTTGCTGACAAAATATATATTTTAAAATAGCCTTATTTTTTTCTTTCCTTGTCATCACATACAAGCTATCAATAGTGTATTATCAAATATAGACAAGAACTTTGCATCACCTTCAGTCAACAGAACCCCATCTTCACCGAGACCATGTTCAGGAGATGGCGAGTGCAGCCGAAGGGGAACGTCCGGGTAGCAGGGAACATCAAACCGAGGCTCCATCGCTGAGGAACCCAGGATCGATGAGGATATGGGCGTGGACCGAGGACCAGAATGCGGGGGTTCAATCATTTGCGTCCCAATTGGGGCCCGTGGTGGCAACGGTGGCATAGCTGTTGGCTGCCTCCCACAACTCTGTTCTCCGTCGCCCAAGAGGTTGAAGATGTCAAACCTGCCGCGCTCCCTCTGGGATCTGGGTCGAACCGCCCAGGGTTGATGATAGCGGGGGATAAATCGATCGGGAGAGCCGTTCCTTTCGTCCGGGTCAGGAAGGTTGAAAAGTTTGAACGGGTTCATCGGATCCCAGGCGTCGTTCGACGAGCTGTTCGGCTCAAACTCCAGGAAATCGGGATGCGGAGAAGACGGCGAGGAAGACTGATGGCTCTCCACTCCGTAAGTGCTTTCCCTCTCCGCGCCACCACCCGCGCCCGCCTCAAGACGGGGCCGTCCCGACCGCCTGGCCGAGTTGGCAGACTCGCCCTCCTCGCTGCTGCTGGATGACTGCGCCCCCGACAGACGGGCAGGGCCGGATGAACGACGCTGGCCCCCGCAGGCCGCCCCGGTCAAGGATGTAGAGGGCTCGGTGTCCTCCAGCAGACCAGAGAGGTGGTTCAGAATCCCTGGCATGTTGCAGTCAATGACCGGGCTGGACTTGGCATCTGGAAAAACAAGAGGGCAGAATAACAATTAAACAGCAATAACTAAGAATTGTGAGGCATCGCGGTGAAATCAGGCGCTCGTCAAAATTATAAAATCAAAGACGTCACCATTTTTCCCCGATTTGACAATTTTTATTGAAGTTTTTTATAGCTCAAAACATCTTTTAAATCCATTGAAAAACACATGTCTGTGTGGATTTTAAAGAGAAAAATTTTGATTAAGGGCATAAAACAGTAATGGAAACTGATCAGTCCAAAATTTACTGAACTTTTCGCATGCGGGCTATACGGATTTGGAAAAATACACTTATTCAATTGTAGATTAGTACACATAGCAGAATGACTCACCATTGAAAAGACACTTATGGAAAATGAAGGAGCAAATCAAAATAACGGATTTCCGTCAATATATGGAAAATTTCCATCCCTGATAAAAAGATAAATTTTTAGTTTCCAAGAACTCAAAGTTATGAAACTCACCAAACTTTGGTGGCCATTTTCTCGCGAATTCTACCTCTGAAACCATGGGACACAAACTCTACCTTCTTCAATCCCTAATATTTTAAATTCTATTCAAAACAGATGGGCATTTTCAAACTGGAAAGAGATGAGCCGATACTGGAGAACATGGCCAATGACAGACAAGCGTGGCATGGGCTGCTCTCCGCCTTATGTACCTGACGGTATAGGGAGAAAGTAAGTAAAAAAACCCTAGAACACTCAGAAACATTCTTACTTTCCCTTAGAGCACACATTGTAACCAGCTGACTAAGCACTCAAACATTCAACGAAGGAAGTTGTTAGGGGACTGCGCAGTCGCCTAGCGCTGCTTTTGGCACTGGGGGACTGCAAAGAAACAACCTTTGACCTTTGGATCGAGGTCAACAAGCCATCATTAGAAATCAACAACATTTAAATTTCCTCCCATGACAAATTGACAACATGATGTCTGATTTGACTGTTGGCGATGTTTTTGGCCGCTATGATGTTCTGCTTGAAAAAAATTAATGAGTATGGTAGAGTCACCCGCTGTTTTTTTTTTTGTGTGAAAGGCGAATGTCGAAAGGTTTGTTGATCCAATAGAATTGACGTAGTGTAGATCTAGATCTAGATCTAGATCTAGACAGATCTAGATCTAGACTAATCTAGATCTAATCTAGATCTAGATCTAGCCTATAATATTGTAATAGTTCGTACATTGTAGATCTAGATCTAGATCCTACTGATACATAGATCTAGATCTAGTAACTATTAAGTTAAAGGGTGTGGTTGGAGAATCTAGAGCCAAACAAAGTTTATTTAAGGATAATTTATAATTTATGTCGACAGGTTTGTTGATCTAGAATAGGATCTATCTTGATTAGATCTAGAGATCTAGATTCTATATATCTAGATCTATTAGTAGTGCTACTTATGACTTAGACTTTATAGACTACACTACATGGTAAGCCTACACTTCTTTAATTTAAAAATTTGTAGTCTGTGTCTATAATATATAAAATCTACTCCTAGATCTAGATCTAGATCTAGATCTAGTTTAGTAATACCAAAGATTCTCAACTACCAGGATATTGCAATGGAACTTGTAAGGGGACTGCACAAAAACTGAAAACATAAGCGAAATAGATCTAGATCTAGATCTAGATAGAGCGGAAACGAAAAAAACGGGTGAGAATATTATGTGGAGTATTCTCACCCAGCCCAAAGAAGGATTACAGTACCTTGGAAGTAGAGAATCTTTAGAAATACTAGTACTAGACCTACTACTAGGCCTAGATCTAGATCTAAACTAGATCTAGATCTAGGCCTAGATATTATATACACAGACTGTGGGTTTTTTAATTGAAGAAGAGTAGACCTACTATGTAGTGTAGTCTACAGTCTATGTCATAAGTAAGTACAACTAGATCTAATCTAGATTCTAGATCTAGATCTAGATAGATCAACAAACCTATCTTCATAGTTAATAAATTCGCCTTAAATAAACAGTGTTTGGCTCTAGATATAGATTCTCCCACCATACTAATTAACTTAACTGACTTAACTAGATTTAGATATAATGTATCAGTAGGATCTAGATCTGTCCGATGATGGCTTGTTGAACTCGATCTAAAGGTCAAAGGTTGTTTCTTTGCAGTCCCCCAGTGCCAAAAGCAGCGCTAGGCGACTGTACAGTCCCCTAACAACTTCCTTCAACAAACTGACAAGATCTTTTACCATCTATAGCAGGCCAAAAAAAACCCACCAAAAAAAAGAGGAACAAAATAGCACAACTAACCCATTAGAAGGGCATTATCTTTTAACCACAAATTATTAAAATCTTTCACTCAAAAAAAAAAAGGTATAAAATATAATATTTACTTAAAAAAAAAAAAAAAAGAAAACTCTCCTTACCTTCGCTAGTCTCCTCTGCCTCCATAGCTCCTTCCCCACTCCATGTTGAGTCAAGGTCCTGGTACAACGCTGGGGAAAGTTCAAACAACAACAGTGTCAAGGACTGGGGGCAAATAGGGTGAAAAATAGTTTATGTGAAGAGAAGGCTTTTACCATTCGGAAAGGGGGCGGCAGCTCTCGTGGTCTAGAGGTTACAGTGTTCACCTCTCATTCAATAGGTCCCGAGTTCTAAACCTGACAGCGACGGACAATTTTCTTCTTTTACCTCCTTTCCTGCTCTCTAGCTGTGTTCTGCCGTCTGCTTTTGTCTTTACTTTCTTCCCCCACCCAATCCCCCCTTGCCCCCTCTTCTGGGCTCCTACCTCTGTGTGCAACCATTCTACTGCTACTCCTTGGCTCCTTACTGCTGTCTTTCAGCCACACTACTGTTCTTAGGGTAGGTAAAATTTAACACATAGCCTGCTTGGATAAGGGTGAAAAATCTCGGAGGTCCCGTGCGCAAGTTGCGCATGTTAAAGATCCCTTGGTGGTGATAAAATCAATAAGAGTAGACTTCCGCCACTACTCTGGCAAAATTCAAAATTAATTCCTATCTAAAAAGTGTTTAATGTGTCCCACACACTCTTATGAACTTATGCAGTTGCGAGCACTGTAAAACACTTACCAAAACATTTTCTACATTTTGGCAGCAAAACAATGAGGTAATTTAAGTGCCAAAGATCAGAGGTGTACAGTGTTACAAAAAAGCAACAAACACGAAAAAGAAGGAGGACAAATAAGGGTGATAGATGTTTGATAGGAAAGAAGGAGCAAACCACACCAGGGCACCCACCGACCACCAACAAAAATTATTTAAAGAAAGAGAAGGCTTTAAATAAGTTCTACATTTTGGCAGCAAAACAACTTCTGGCTTGCACTGTACGTTTCCCCGGAAGTTAAGATTGGCTCAGAACACTATATGGTCTGCTGGGGTAATGATATCGATTATAAAGCCCATTGAGCTTGCTGTTAAGCAGGAATTTACGCCATACAGATGCTACCTATCTGATTATTAATATTATTACTTGCATCTTTACCATCATAGACTCAAAAAGAAGCATAACAAGAAGTAACTGGTGAGAGAAGGCTTGCTTACTGTCATGAAACCTTTTGACTTAAGTTGTGCAAATTAACAACTCTCGCTTTTTTTCCCTCCTACCCCGCCACAAACCTGTGGTAGCTTCTTCCGCCGCTGCTTCAGCGACTATGATGAAGTTCATGTCGTCACTGGAGCTGGGAGGAGCCTCGCACTCTACCGTATCCATGGTGGGCGCTGACGTCTCCTCCACGAGAACAAGACTCGCGTCACCCGACTCCGTCTCACTCTGTCAAATTGAGACAATTTGAGCGCAATAGTATATATAATAATATAAAGGTTGGGGTGTCTGGTCAACTTTATAAAAGGGGATTGGGGGGGGCTCAATATCAATATTACAATATATTGCTTTTTTTTTTCCTCTTGTAAAAAAGTAAGATACACATTACTTTGTTCTTTTGGCAGTGCTTTAAAGTTGGTACAATGAACAATGGTCAAATTTTAATTTCTATGATTTTTCTTTCCATTAGTTTCAGAAAAAGGTTTTATTTTGAAAGAGGCTACTTAAGGACGGCTAGACTGGCAGTCCCATGAATCATAAAAATAGAAATCAACAAACATTTAACACATTTTATACCAATGACAATGAAAAACAAAATTTTCATTGAAATTGCTTTAAAATGGACTTAATGAAAATAGAGTAAATTCTAAGAACTATGCTTTTTAAATTTTAGAAATCCAGTGATAAATAAAAATGTTATTGGGATTTTTATTTGAAAAATGTTGGAGGACCTTCATATAGGAAAAAATCGCCAAAATGTGGGACATGTCTTGATATATTTTGAGGAAAAACTGTTCATAAGTCAGTAATGAATTGGAGCATATGAATGAAACTTGGCATCTTCATGTGATTTTTAGTGCAGAATGTAGTTCTGTTATCACTTTTTTGATGTCTTTATCACTTTGGATCTTAAAGACTGATATTTGCGTGAAATTTGTTGAATTGCGTGACACTGTTTTTACCGCGACGCGATCACCCCTTCTAAAACTCAGTAAAGCGCTATCAGGAAAACCCGCGATGTAGTCATCGGTGACCTATTTAGTTATAGGCAGCCAATCACATGCCGCCTAGCGATCACGCGTCTCTTGTATGACGGCACCTCGCATTTGGAATGCGTGATCTAGTTTCCAGCTCTAGTGTTTTATCAATGGATGGGTGGTAATTTTAAGTTGGTACGTAAAATGTACTGAACGCAGAGATCTGAAATTTTACAGCAATAAAGAGGACATGTGGGGCGCTTGTGTGGTCGGCGATCAACCCGCAGCTCCACTTAGTTTTCGAACCGCAGAGGAAATTCGCACAAACACGGCAATATCTCCAGTTCTAGTAATCGTTCGGGAATGTACGCTGGCATGTCGTTAGTTTAACCTTTCCTCTGATTGCAGGGTTGGTGATTTTTATGATTTTTTTTATAAAAATCAAAAAAATCGATTTTTTTTATTTAAATCAGATTTTTTTTATTTAAACCGGATTTTTTTTTTTTTTTTTTTTTAAATGTCGACACAGTTTGGGATTTTTGGTGGCTAAAAGTATGTTCTTTTAGTGCAAAATGCATTGTCTTTATTTTAACTAATGATTAATTTAAGCAACTGCAATTTTAGAAAGCCTTAATCTGCTATATCAGTGAATTATGGCTACAGACAAAAAATGAAGAAAATGTCAGTCTAAAAGGAAGGGGGGGGGGGGGGGGGGGGGAGAGGGTAATTATGCATAGATAAACTTGCATTTTGTTTTTTATTACAGTGTGTGTGTGAGCACGCGCTTGTGTTTGTCTAAAAAGAAAAAGAAAATGCTAATTTCAATTATGAAAAAAAGTAAATTGAATACTGTATTATTTTACTACTTACAGTGACAGGGGGGGAAAGCAGACTTTTAAGCATGATTATATTAGTCTACTAAACCTTATATCTGTTTTATAAAACCAAGGAAAGGAATTCTGAATGTTTAAAGATGTAAAAACAGAAAACATTTTTTTAAAGTGATTTAAATCACTGAGTTTTATTTTTAAAATCAAGTTGATTTAAATTTTTAAAAAATCAACTGATTTAAATCAACCCAACCCTGGTTTTCAATTATGAAAAAAAAAGTAAATTGAGAACTGTATTATTTTACAGTGACAGGGGGGAAAGCAAACTTTTAAGCATGATTATATTAGTCTACTAAACCTTATATCCGTTTAAAATAAAACCAAGGAAAGGAATTCTGAAAGTTTAAATATGTAAAAACTGAATACATTTTTTTGAAAAGTGATTTAAATCACTGATTTTTATTTTTAAAATCAAATTGATTAAAATTCTTAAAAAATCAACTGATTTAAATCAACCCAGCTCTGATTTCAATTATGGAAAAAAAAGTAAATTGAATACTGTATTATTTTACAGTCAAAGGGGGGAAATCAGACTTTTAAGCATGATTATATTAGTCTACTGAGCCTTATATCTGTTTTATGAAACCAAGGAAAGGAATTCTGAATGTTGAAATGTGTAAAAACCGAATAAAAATTAAAAAATTTTTTAAGTGATTTAAATCACTGATTTTTATTTTAAAAATCAAGTGCCGAGTTTCATTTATTTTCGTCCAGGAGTTTTCCCGTAACTATACTATGCAGAAGAGAATCACTTCTGATTCCAAGCGGCCCAAAAATTACCCCTCACGCGGAGGCCGATTTCCAGCCCAAGGCGCAGCGAGCGATTGGCATTGCTACATTTTACTTCATAAAAAGTTCACTTGCTCACCTGTTTCCTTGTCTCTAAATCCACTGGAGGTGAGGGTAGCCAAGCCATGGGCATCACCCCAGAGGCAGATGCACTCGCCCCTTCCTCTTCCTCCATCGTCACAGCTGATGACAATGTCAAAATGGAATGGAGAAGACTGAGCAAAGCAGTCCTTTCAAGGTCGTTGTATCTTCACTAAGCCTAAACACTCATCATCGCATTTCTCTGCTCAGTCCACAGTCTCAGATTTTGCGTGTACTCTCTCCTGGATCACTAGAGAAAAACAAGACAAAATAATTGATAAAAAACTTGATTTTTTTAAATCCGAAAAAGAACATTCAAATTCAAAAATAAAAGGCAGTAGTGTACTGTTAGTTGATATTCAGTGGGGTTCATTTTATCCTAATTTGATGTTTTGCAGCTAGGTTGCATCCCTACTCTTTGTGTAGCCTATTTCAAAATTCGGACTCGAGTCCGAATAACATTTTTTCATATTCGGACTCAAGTCCGAATATGAAAAAATGTTATTCAAACTCGGGTCCGGGAAAAAAGGAAGTGTCTTCGTTCTATAGATCTAACGTTCAGTGCTTCCAATTTTCCGCCATTTTTTAGTTTCCCCCACACCTTATCTGCCGATCCGATGCCCGCCGCCTCATTGATTCGCGCCCCCCCCCCCCCCCCCCAGGTTCCCACTTTTTTTGTGGGAGAAAAAGGGTAAATTTGAGATTAGCAGACCACCTGGCACCTGCATATTATGAGCTGTGTAAAAAAAAAAAGACCGATTCGTTCAAATACACAAGCCTGTGTTACCTCGATTGTTTACCAAGCGGAGAATGAGGTGACAATGAAGTCGAACAAACGGGCCTCTTTATTGAGCCAATATACAGAGCGAAAATCCATTTCGGAGAAACTACCGCACGACTAAAATGTTATATATAAAGAAAGTGGTGGCGGAGGGCGATTCACTCAGGAGGTGCGGTTGAGTAGAGAGAGAGAGAAAGGAGAAAGAAAGAGAGATATCTATAGAGAAGGGGTGAGGAGAAAGAGCGCGCGCGCACACACACACGCGCGCGCGCACACCGCAAGCAGTCGGCGATGAAACCAACCTCGCGTCCCCGCCCAGTGTGCTCGCCGCAGGCCCATGGCGAGGGAAACCCCGCGCAGCGCCACAAATAGATGGCTGAAATACGTCATCTATATTTCTGCCAATCACAGAGATTTGCTACATGCTCACTGTAGTGTAGCTTCACCCAATATTATTATAATATAGATTGATATAGGATTCTTGCTATCTAACCGTCATTAAGTACGGCTGCTGGTCTAGCCGTCATTAAGTACGGCTAGAAGTCTAGCCGTACTTAAATACGGTAGACTGCCAGTCTAACTGTACTTAAGTATGGCTAGACTTCAAGTCTAGCCGTCAAGTCTAGCCGTCATTAAGTACGGCTAGCCTCTTCCTTTTCTGTTATCACAGTGTAGAATTCTAGCAATGACCAATGAAAACCTTTTTTATTTCAGAAAGTGTTTGCAAATAGGTGCATTTTGTAGCTCTATCTCCACAGAGCATAGAACTTTTTGAATTTTTGAAATCCATCAATAAACAAAAAAAGTTACGAATTTTTTAATCAATTAATTTTTGGTACACTTTTATATAATGAAAAAACCCCAAAATATGGGACGTTCTTTGGCGAGTTTTGAGACAATATTCTTCATAACTCGGTCATTTCTCGGAGTATTTAAATGAAATTTGGCAACTTAGTACATTTTCTAGTGCAGAATCTAGTCCTGCTTTCAGATTTGTCATAGCTATCCTACTTTTTGAGTTATGAAGACGTTTATAGGTAAAAATGTGGCGGTTTTCTGTGCGTTTTGAGACAATATTTGTCATAGCTCGCCTATTTCTTGGAGTATGTAAATGAAACTTGGCAGTCTAGTACAGTTTTTAATGCAGAATCTAGTCAAGCTGTCAGATTTTTAATATCTATAATACAATTTGAGTTGTAAAGACATTAACAGGTAAAAAAGTGGCGTTCTTTACAGATTTACAAAGATTATCAGTCATATCTTCTCCCAAAGTCATGATATTTGAATGAAACTTGGCAACATAAAAGGTTCCTCCTTGCCAAGCAATGCTTTGGATCAATTTGTTACAAAAATGTAAGTAGAGAGCTGGATTTATTAGACTAATAAATCCAGTTCTCTACTAGTAAAAGCATGCACTTTGTTATAGAAAATAAGATCGTCTCTGTGTATCCATTGTTGGACAGTGTCCTATTGTGTGGTAGATTAAGATGTGTTTAGATAGTATAGTTTACAAGTCACGGGAATATTTTGCATGTGTAGGCTACAACTCATACTATAAATGTAACATATTAACACCCCCCACCCCCCCACCTCTCTCTCTCTCTCACGCGCACACACACACATGCACGCGCGCGCTCTTACGCACGCACGCGTGAACGATAACAATGTATGAGCGGGACTATCTTCCCAGACTGGACTAAATAAGTACCATACTCTTTAATACAATCTTAATGCCTCACTTTCCCAAACAGAGCACACAGGACGAGTCCAAGTGTTTGCTTTCCCAAGAAGGGGGAATAGGCTTTCATAACGCAAACACGATGCCATACCACATCTCAAGATGTTTGCTTTTCCGTTTCTATTCTTCTTTCATGCGATCAAGCTAATAAAAATGACTACATCTATTGTATTGTGACTAAAATGCAACAAAAACGCAAGTTATCAAGGCCCCCGTTTAGTTTTCAAGTACGAAGTGACTATTCGGACTCGAGTCCGAATATGAAAAAATGTTATTCGGACTCTGATTCTTGTCCAGCATGACATCACTGCCGACTTCCTGTGCCTCGTGACTCCGGCTTCCTGTCCTGCCTCACTCGTGACTCGCCTCAGGCTGGGTAGAGACCGGGATCACTTCGGGCAAAATGGCGTTAAATTGTGCAGGAACCGAGTTTTTAATCTTATAATGAATTTGAGGCCGGCCTGAAAAGTTAGAGCGCTTCTAATAAATGTTTATTTGTCAAGAGGTCATCAGAAGCAATTAAAGATGGCTCGTTAGCGTGTGTCGGGGTCGGATGGGCGGCCTGCACACGTGTGGCTGTGTGTGCGTGTCGGGGAGGGGGGGGGGGGCACTATCGGTCCGGGCGTTGAACGTCGCATACGCGTCAGTCTCCCCCCGGCAACTGATCATTACAATAATAAGCTAGTCTTGACGTAGATCTACGTAATGAATTGTGCGCTGGTCTATGGATTCAAAAGTTGCCGTATGCTCGGCTCTACATAGCAACACAACTTTTTCTTGGTAAAACAATCGAGATAACACAGGCTTGTGTATTTGAACGAATCAGTCTTTTTTTCTACACAGTTCATAATATGCAGGTGCCAGGTGATCTGCTAATCTTCAATTTTACCTTTTTCTACAACAAAGAAAGTGGGAAACTTGGGGGGGGGGGGGGAGGGGCGAATCAATGAGGCGGCGGGCATCGGATCAGCAGATAAGGTGTGGGGGAAACTAAAAAATGGCGGAAAATTGGAAGCACTGAACGTTAGATCTATAGAACGAAGACACTTCCTTTTTTCCCGGACCCAAGTTCGAATAATATTTCTTCATATTCGGACTTTCAAGTATCCTTCCCCCCTTTCCGGTTCACATAAGCGGGGCCTTGTTTGTAGCGCCCGAGGCGACCGATGGCTGATGACGTCACTCAGTGGAAATTTCCCAGCCGCTGGTCGTTCACCCAGCACGCGCAAATGGCAATGCTGCTTTTCGCTTAGTTACTCCCATATTTTTAAAGATGACGCGAAAACCACTAAACACAGAAGCTTGAAATCTTAAGGGAATAAAGAAAAATGATGTACAACGTATCAGTCAGTTTGACAAATCACAGCTCCGAAAAATCTTCAAAGTGCACCACATCAACCACTTTCGCAAACATTTTCGACTGCTTCTAGGATGGTTACAATGTTGTCAAACTGCATACTACGAGATTGACCTCTTTTCTGATTGGCTGCCAAGTTTCATTCATATCCGTTCACGAGAAGCGGCGTGAGAGCGAGTTGAAGACAACAACCTTTGCGTTAGTGCGTCCCACGAAACACCCCCGCTGCGGGGGCCAAAAATCGGCAGAACAAAACGCGCTCGGTGGGCATTGCTAAGAATTCTGTGGTTTAGGGTGAACGCAAAATTGGTTGGCCTAGATCTAGGCTATAACGGTGAACGCGCACCGTGTGAGAATAGCCAAAAGACTCGCCATTCCAAAAATGAGGAAAAACAGGTCTTGTTTCACACCGGCTGAGAATAGCCTACGCTGGCAAGTCTCACCCGGGGTGAGAGGTAGATCGTATTTCTATTTTCACCCCGGGTGAGAATAGCCACTTCCAGAAACAAAACCTAAATCTAAGTCTAAGTAACATAGTTTAAAAAATCCTTTAAAAATAGACTAGATCTAGAGACCTACCCCTAGCCTACACTACACTCCACTAGACACTAGAGATCTAATAATAAACACAAACAAATAACGAAGTGACTATTACTCCGAATGTTCGGAGAAATAGTGCCGATATTTATTTCTCCAAACGGTTTCCGTTCCGGTCTCGTTATTTTTTGCCTATTTATTGCGAGAGTTCAGTGCCAACTTTCATTCTGCTTCTGGTCTGAGAAGGAACACGGCATGGCAAGCCCGCCTACATACAACCTTCGGTAACACCCACCACCACATGCACATGTACACACACAAACTTATACACACACTAACTAAACATGATCAGTGGGCAACTTTTGAACGTATGACGAGCTGAGTTGTGGAGGGAGAGACAGTGTGAGTGACAGAGCGGGTGAAAGGTAGAATTTACGAGTGTATCCACAGGCGACAGCAACTACAAGACGACGACACCGACCCCCCCATGGTTCACAGGGTGCAAGGGAATGAGTGAGATTTTCTTTGTGTGTGCCTGGAAGGAGGGGGTGGGGTGTGAAAGTCATGAGGACGGGGATGAGCCGCGGGAAAGAACACGGGAATTGAACGAATGAGTGAAACTGAAAGAGAGGAACGACTCATGAGCCCTGGAGATAGATCCTGTATTTCTATTTTTGTATACTTTTAACTGTTACTGAATAAAGGCTGAAATAAAGCCCGAAAAACACAAACACTCCTCACTCTCCACTTACACACTTACTACCACACACAGACACACTCACACACACACATGAATAGACACACACACACACACACACACACACACACACACACACA